TAGACAAAATTTTAAATGATGCTTTACAGCTTCCACCGTACCATTCACATTTAAACCCAATCGAATTAGTTTGGGCTGGTATGAAACAGTTGCAGTATGTAGCAGGAAGGAATGTTAACTTTAATTTTATCTCCCTTGAGATCACGTACGATTTATTTTCAGTAGAAGAATGGAAACATCGATGTCAAGACGCTAAAAAAATTGAAGACTTCCTGTAGACGCAGCCGTTATTATACTCTGCTATGTACAATTTTGTAATTAGTTGACTAGGCGGTAGTGAATGTTCAGATAGTGACTTTTGATGTATTTTACCATTGTATTTTTTTTATTGTAATTCAATAGTTTATAAAACAGTTATAATATATAAAATGTTTTGCATATAAAATTTTTAATCTTTTGTCATTTGTATATCATAGATACACATATTTACAAAGCTTCATATACTTTTTCAGTAGTGACGTCACATACGCCAAAGAATGAGTAAGCCCATAGNTCATTCAAGGAATGTTTGGTTATGGTTAAGAGTACGTCTATAACAAAGCACTTGAAGAAAAAAACACTCGATAAACACACTGACAACAATATTAAACAAAACAAGAGAAAATACGCTAATGACAGCATAATATCAACAACAGTTCAACTACGTATGAGGCTATTCTTTCCGAGCACGAGCATTATGTAAATAGTACACAAGGATCAGATTCGGTCTGTACAATTTCAACTAAGACAATATGTCGCGGGTTGCCTAAATATGTGACGTCACACTAAAAGAGTCTATTCTGAATCACCGTGCCTACGTCTTATTCCTTCTAGTCGAGTGCGATCTTTCTCAATCTCATGCAACTCTGCCTGAGACAAAAACATGTTTGTGTCGTGCACCAGTACGATATTTTGTCGTATTTTCACTAAATCGAAGTTTGTTGTCATAATTTGGTCACTTCAAATTGTTTACGGGTACTTAACTTACAAGAAAAGACATTATTATTTACAATAACCACATTCATTTAATATGTGCAATAAGTTCAAATGATACAATTATCACTAAATTGGTTGTAAGGTTTTAATTTGTACATCAAATCAACAGAAAAAATCGTTAATAACTATACAGTATTCTGATTGTCCTAATTTCAATTTGAACTTACAAATAACAAATATATTTGCTTTGAGTAACTATGTAACAATAATTTGGCTTAGAAAGTTATTATTATTCTTTATTATTATGCACTAAATAAGGACGACATTAAAATGAAACAACTTGTTTTTGGAATAATAATGTTAAATATGCCACACAATGTTTTTCAATATAGACGGACACAAAATTATTTCCCTCTGCTAATTATTTTAAGGCATATTTAATTCTACCTGTTAAGTTCACGTAGTGTTAGAAATAATTTGAATATATGACAATGTGCAATATTTTAATTTTGAAATCTCGTGAACTATACATAGTGGTAAACTATACATTATTATTAATATTATTAAACCAAAGTATTTAAAGTTAAGGAAGTAAATTATAATGACTACCGAAAGTGTACCTATACAGAACCTATAAAAAATGTTATTCTGTTACTTCAATATAACTTTAGTTCTGATCAATCTGACCTAGCCTTAATCTTTGAATTCAAGAGGAACTTTTTTTCATTGTCAGCATATAGCCGTTCCATTTCAGAGAAGTTGATCAACTTAATGTGTCAAATCAGAAGAGGTGAAATCATTAGACGCCGATAAAACTTAGACTGCGCATAATTTTAGTCTGCAGAGACTCTCTACAACTCGCCAGCTGTGTGCAATAAACCGCATTAAAAAATTTTTCAGTTTGTGTTCGACAAAAATTCAGAATGAGTGAAAAGTTGAAATGAGTCGATGTACAGCTTTTAAACAACAAAATAATTCTTACAGTAGTAATTTAGGTTTCTAAAGATTCTCTAAAAATGAAATTAGATACGAAATATGTACAGTGTCCCATTAATAAGTGTCAAAAGCTTAACCATATGTTTAACTCATTAAAATATATTTCTAATAATTTTTATCAAAAGCTCTAATGTTCGACTCGTATTTTGTGCCGATTAAAATAGTTGTAATGAGCTGCCAATGAATTGATGAAATGTCTAAGTAAGGTATGAGAGCGACTATTTTCTTACAATTTTTTTGCTGTACACAAAAAAATATACAAAAATTGATGCTTTTGTCAAGTTAAATTCATGATTAATATATTGGCAATTGTTTCTCAGACACCCTGTATAATTACAGTATAAACAAATGGACGTGTACATAATAACAAAAATATTTTACTCGGATTTGCAAAGCATTTTGAGAGTGAAACGTTTTTTAACAATTCAAGTAATGCGTTTTATAAACAAGCAATATTGACCGAATTTACTAAAAATTGAGCGCATATTTGAATTACACAGACTATTCTAATGCTTTTAGTATGCAAAAAATATGTGCTCAATTTAGTAAACAACATGCTGAAGAAAATATGGAAAATAATAAAAGCTAGTTTATTACAAATATGAAATATTGTTGCGGGTATCATCGTCAAAAATTTTTGTCGATATTAATACGTACTCCTTAACATTTTGATGCAAAATTTGATAATTAAACTAATTGTCAAGAGATTTAGAACCTTCTATTTGAGAATCTTGTTAAGGTTAGATATATAACAATAAACGCAAACTCATCGTACAAATAACATATTACCTTAAACCGGTTCTAAAACTCTTTATTATTTATAACACATTGCAACTAACAAATCGCGAATAAAATACATCTATAATAATTCTTCAAATTAGTAATAGTTTTTTTTTATATATTTATCACGATCTTATCTTTCTTATCTACTCTTATTGCCACTCTGGTAATAATTTCTCTATCCAGCATCAAGAGTGGCTGAATAAAGATCAAAGGGCCCACAACGGAGTGAAATTGCTTGTTTACATATGCTGTGAGTGTAGACACAATCCGAACTGTTAAGTCGAAAACGACCTTAACTTTATCTGCATTACGTTGATTTCAAAATAATTAGGGCTAGGTCAGAATTCCCCCGATACAAAATATAATACACTTAATAAAACTATTCAAGCTTTAACATTGTTTACTGCAGTAACATGTTGTATATATGTAAAGATATATAGAAACACCCTGTATATAATTTATTACATTGACTATAATATTTGACACAACCACGACAATATTTTAACACAAGTATTATAGAGTTCTGAGCAAAATATAAAAAGGTGCAAAATTCAAATTTTTCCTATAGTATAATTATATGAAAAAAAAAACAAGGACATACTTCTCCTCAAGATGCCGTTGTCTGATAAAGAAGTGTTAAGAAAACTAATATTAAATAGGTACTTGAATTTGCTACATTAAAAATTCTAGCAACAATTACTATACTTGTTAAATAAACTTGTTTAGAAATTTTGCAACACTTATTATAAAGAAATATTACTATTTATTATGGTATTTTAGTTGTCTTCTACCTCTTCTATCAAGAAATGGTAGTAATTAGTCTAAAAATATAGAGCTGGTGTTTCTGAATTGGTAAAATTTCAATGTTTAGCCTTGTTTCAATGAATCGCTATATAAACACCCAAACCAAACACTTTTACATTTTCAGCAACCCAGTAATTGACTACTTTGTATAACTATGTTGATATGTAAATAAATCTAGCTTAAAAATCCCATACAAGTGATCTACTTATAACAATTGAGCATGTGATTTTGTAAAACGTAAAATATAGTAGACACATATAGAATTTGTACTATCAGACTTTTCGTTTCGAGAAAACATATAATAAACAAGCAGGAGAGAACTCTATAACGGTAAAAGTTATATACATATACTTGTCACAACCATAGAACAGGAAGCACATAAAGCACTTTATTCGCACAGCCAATCACAAGGCAATTTAGGCATTTTACTAGCGGGCCATGGAAGATAGCCAGCTGTTTTAAATACCCAGTAATCGTAAGACACTTTTGCAATAAGACCTATAAGTAAGAGCACTTCAGCGGTTATTATATAGTATATATAGTCAGTCCAATCTTGCTGACTCTGGCACAGTTTAGTTTGTTCCAATTCCATAATTTTCACGTCCATATTGTCACATCCAATCGCGTCGTAATCTGGTACGTGTTCCAATTTGGACAGTAACCACACCTGCATATAAAATATTATCAAAAAACAATTATTATTATTTTAATAATTTTTAGTTTAAAAATGTAACAACTGTTATAGTGGCACTATTACAAGACGCAAAATTGACGCATGAGGTAATTTTGATGGAAAATAGGTCTTTAATTAAAAATTATAAATTTTCTATTGACTAAAAGAATACAGTATAGGGTATGAATAGAATAGCATATAGGGTAAATGCGCTCTTTTGTCGAAATTTTCAATGATCGTTTTGCATAAATACGGCTGAATCTCATTGATACAGCGCTCAGTTTCCTCCGTCAAAACGTGGGTGATCGTGGGTTTGTTGGCATAAACCTCAGACTTCAAAAGACACCTCCAAAAAATAGAAAAGTTCAACGGTGTAAATTGCATAATCTGGGAGACCAATGCTGATCACCAAAACGAGAAATTACACGACCAGGAAATGACTCGTGCAGTAATGGAATTGTTTCTCGAACTGTATGGCATATGGCACCGTCTTGTTGAAACCACATGTCGTCAATATCCATCTCGCAATTTAGGCACAAGAAAATTGGATTATCATGTCGCGATAGCGAGTACCATTAACTGTTATTGCCTGACCAGCCGCATTTTTGAAGAAGAATGGTTCAATGATGCCTTCAGCCAAAAATCCCCACTAAACAGTGACACGTTGTGGATGCATTTGTTTCTCAACAATCACTCGTGGAGTTTCTGAACCCTAAATTCGACAATTTTGTCAATTAATGAATTCATCAAGATAAAAATGAACCTCATCGTTGAAGATGATTTTGTTCTAAAAATCAGCATCTGCTTGTTGTTCCATAATCNTGTTTCTGAATTGGTAAAATTTCAATGTTTAGCCTTGTTTCAATGAATCGCTATATAAACACCCAAACCAAACACTTTTACATTTTCAGCAACCCAGTAATTGACTACTTTGTATAACTATGTTGATATGTAAATAAATCTAGCTTAAAAATCCCATACAAGTGATCTACTTATAACAATTGAGCATGTGATTTTGTAAAACGTAAAATATAGTAGACACATATAGAATTTGTACTATCAGACTTTTCGTTTCGAGAAAACATATAATAAACAAGCAGGAGAGAACTCTATAACGGTGAAAGTTATATAGATATACTTGTCACAACCATAGAACAGGAAGCACATAAAGCACTTTATTCGCACAGCCAATCACAAGGCAATTTAGGCATTTTACTAGCGGGCCATGGAAGATAGCCAGCTGTTTTAAATACCCAGTAATCGTAAGACACTTTTGCAATAAGACCTATAAGTAAGAGCACTTCAGCGGTTATTATATAGTATATATAGTCAGTCCAATCTTGCTGACTCTGGCACAGTTTAGTTTGTTCCAATTCCATAATTTTCACGTCCATATTGTCACATCCAATCGCGTCGTAATCTGGTACGTGTTCCAATTTGGACAGTAACCACACCTGCATATAAAATATTATCAAAAAACAATTATTATTATTTTAATAATTTTTAGTTTAAAAATGTAACAACTGTTATAGTGGCACTATTACAAGACGCAAAATTGACGCATGAGGTAATTTTGATGGAAAATAGGTCTTTAATTAAAAATTATAAATTTTCTATTGACTCAAAGAATACAGTATAGGGTTATGAATGGAATAGCATATAGGGTAAATGTGCTCTTTTGTCGAAATTTTCAATGATCGTTTTGCATAAATACGGCTGAATCTCATTGATACAGCGCTCAATTTCCTCCGTCAAGACGTGGGTGATCGTGGGCATGTTGGTATAAACCTCAGACTTCAAAAGACACCTCCAAAAAATAGAAAAGTTCAACGGTGTAAATTACATGATCTGGGAGACCAATGTGATCACCAAAACGAGAAATTACACGACTCGTGCAGTAATGGAATTGTTTCTCGAACTGTATGGTATATGGCACCGTCTTGTTGAAACCACATGTCGTCAATATCCATCTCGCAATTTAGGCACAAGAAAATGTCGCAATAGAGAGTATCATTAACTATTATTGCCTGACCAGCCGCATTTTTGACATTAAAAAAAAACAGAAGGAGTCAGTGGTTAGAGACCTAGAATCATTATTTGACAGATAATGTATATTTACTTCCAAATTCTTTTAATTTTTCTAAAGAATGATATATTTTAATTAAAAATGATTTAAACTTTTAACAATACACTCCACTGGCAACATTACTGCAATAGTGTACGTTTGGTTGCCTAACATTCATGATCATGAAAACTGATGAACGTTCAGTAGAAAGAGAAGTAGCCTAAAGAAATTTGCTGACAGGCAACTCTTAGTTATATCTATTTAAAAAGTGGCATGTTTAAATTTGATGCTGAACTAATTTTAGTTTGTGTTTTTGTATACTGAGGTGAAACTAAATTGTTACATTAATAAGCTTATACCTACTGTTACTTACCTTAAACTCCTTTGCTGTTTTACAATCACAATGCAGCTTATTGTGTCCTAAATTTATATAGCGCATGCTGTCGCTGGTACGATAGAATTTTATATTCGACAAAAGGTATGTCTCAAACTGAAACATAAACTGGTTCATATATAAACTTAACTTATTGAAGATATTATCTCACCTCTTTGATTTTGTTATTCTTTAAACTCAACACTACAAAATTACTCATAAATTTTGTACCCTCCATCTGTTGAATGGTAGATATTTGATTATTATCTGCATACAAGAACATCAAATGCTGATATGATGGGTCTCCCAATTCCTGTAACGATGTTATCTGAAATACAAAATAAAATTAAGTGTTCAGAACAGTAGATGGGTGCTTACATTATTGTTTGTAATATTTAACGATACAGTATGTGGTGGTAGAGGAGTTGGCAGGGAAAGCAAATTGACCCCTGAACAGTTTACAGCGACGGAAAATATGGGTTGCTTTCCTAACACGATTTCCATCCTGTAAGGTTGGCAAGTACAATTTTCAATACAGTTTTCCTCAATCTGCAAAATATAAAACACGCAAGATGTGTATACATATAATGAAAACGACACCACAATAATGAGTGCCTAAAATCAACTAAAGGAAAAATGATTTACTCCTAGGTTTTTGTGTCCTAGGTTTTATTTACGTGGTATATAACAAAAGATAGCAAATCAGTTTTTTCACCGTTGGTTTTCAGCAAATCAATGCAAGAGCTTTCATAAATGATTACAGGCCACGTTACCGCGTAGCTTAGCCAACCAACATTGCAGGATTAGTACTGTCAACTAAAAGTCGTTAAATATTAAGGTCATTAATGTTAATGCTTCATTTACAATGAACAATGACAAACCGTTGAGTCCAAGCACGAGATAATGCAATGGAGAAAATGTCGTGAAAAATTACACCAATCATCTGTTTGTGAAAGAAAATGATGTGTTTTAAATTAGTCTTCATCTATTTTTTTAATTTTACTAATATATAATTGCCAACGCAAAACGTATAAAATTACTGTTCCCAATAAAATTAGTGGTCACGTGGTTTGTCATCATTTATGAATGCTCTGTAGTTACCTCAAGCAATCCCTGTACTTGTGAAATTGGCAACTTTTCTGTTGAGTTAAACCAGTGGAAGGTCTTTGAGGACAAACAAAAAGTAACATCCTCGTTACTGACATTAACCTCCCTTTTCTTTAAAGTGTCTAACAAACTAGTGCAAAGCATATAAGGATTATCTGTAAGAAAATGTATATATTTAACAAACTAATTTAATTAATCAATTGTAACAATTACAGTAATTCTTCTTTAGCAGTCAGTAATTATAAAATTTATGATCATTTCTACCTGATATGTCCAATATAACTGATCCTTCTTTTTTGAATCTAGGGACACTAGTCAGATTATTATGAGACAAATCCAAAAAGCTAAGGTTGAACAGGTTAACTAAGGACCTCTGTGCAAAATTCTTAATTCCATTTGACGAGAGGTTCAGGCAAGACACTGACGATAATTTGGCGAACTCTCCTACTAAGCTATTGATTTGGCCATCTGTGATTGTCATGTATTTCAGTCTTTTCCATACGGGTTGTGTCACATTTAAAACGTCCAACGTTGCATTTCGTATATGTAGTGCCTCTACTTGTCCATCTACAGTGATATCTGTAAAATAAATATTTAAATGAATAATTCAAGTGGTCGTGAATTGACATTATTAAAATTCACGGTTCAAAGTTGTTAGCAATATTATAAAATTAATTAAGGTTTGGTAGCTACATCGCAATTTTCGTAGAAAATATGTTCGGAATAGTAATTACACTTCAACTGTGAAGAGAAATATCCGGGGAGACTGAATCAATTAGTGATCTTAAACACTTTGATCTTCTTCAACAACTCATTCAACACAATACATCGAGGCAGTTCGTGAGCGCCTTGCTGGGAGTTCAGAAATATCAATTCGGCACCGTAGTCAAGTATTGGATATTTCAAGAAACTCTCTATAGCGTATTCTCACAAAAAATTTGCATCTTCATGCTTGCAGAGCGAAGAGAGTTCGGTGAATGGATTATGAAACAAGAATTTAATACATTTCAAGTAGAAGTTGAAGTTTTGGATCGTGGATAATTTGATTTTTTAAATTTAAAAATGTAAAATATATTTAACATTGGCAAATGCAAATTTTCTTTTTTCTTTAGATTTCATGTCCCTGGGAGTTTATTTCTTATAGTTGGATAGATATTCAATGTTTTTCATATTTTTTGTTGTATTTTAACGTTAAAAAATTGATGCCATCTTATAATTGAATTTTTAAAACCAAAATGAAATGTTTGAGCATCGTTTAACATAAATAAATATATCCTAAATATTACTAAAGTATTTACTAGAGTGTATACATAAATTTTCTGACAAGGCATCCAAAATATTTGAAAATATGAATACATCGAATGGTGAAATCTTTTTATTTATGATTTATTGAAACACAGGTAAATAAAATACATTTGAGCTCTGAAGATAGGATGCGCAATGCAATGGAATGGGAACTATGGGTGCATTTCCATTCTGATTTGATTGATTGGCGCATTTTAGGGCTCACGTGTTTGCCCAGTTGTGCAAAATACACAGAGAGAGAATGTAAATAGGTAGTTTCAAAAATTAATTCTTTCTTATAATAAATAACACAAACCCTTCCTATTAAAGAAGTTACCAAAATACATCAGGAAAAGTAAAGGATTTCTATTTAAATATACAGAAATATAAAGTCAGAATCAGTTTCAAATCCAATAGGTTTTCTAATATATAGTAAATGTATCCGCTCTGTCAACAAAATGATGTCCAGCGACTATAATTTTCAAAGACCTTGTTCATATTTACAATTGCACCGGAAATTCTTCGTTATATCAAATAGAGCGTTTATATTCGTATTTAAACACACAAAGCTCACTGTAAAATATAATTAGCATTTCTGAATCAATTAGTTCTTCCAAAATTATTGTTCTGTTAGTAAAGCGAATTCCAAAATTCACGTAAGAAGTAATTTTGTACACAGGTAAAAATTGTAAATTTTTTACTGGTTCATAAAGTATGCAGTATAGAGTTATACAGGATGTCCCAGACTACCCGTCCACCCCTTCTAAAATCTAAAGTACATGGTTATGTGAAAAGTGGTTCAGATGAAAGTTACTGATCTTCAAGGGACACGTATTGCCGTGACCTTGGAAATGTCACAGACAATGTCACGGCAATATGTGCCCCTTGGAGACCAGTAACTTTCATCCTTCGAGCATATATTACTGGAGGTAACATGCCATTGCGAAAAGTGTGGCTGAGTGTGCGATAGAGACAAACAGTATCTGAGTACACTCTGTCTCACTCTAGCACGCACGTGATTGTTTGGAGCATTCATTTCCAACATTCAACAAACTCTCTTCGTTCGTGGTCAGAAGGCTTCAGTTCTTGAATCAATTGAACTTTGTATGCATGAATATGCAAATCTTTGAAATATTTGAATTGTCAGTTGTTACGCTGTCATTATCTTCAACACTTTACAATACAAATGGCGCAAAATTCAAATCTTGCGTGAACTACTTAGTATTCCCATTTATTATGCCACAGCGAAATGAAAATGTGTTTTGCTCTCTAGCGCCAGTTTTAGAATTTATCTTCAATGAAATTTCATGGGGTCATAAAAATGATTATTTTGACATTTTATATTTCCAGTTAATACATCACTAATTTTTTTACAACATACTGTATATTCAACTTACTTGCACATGCTAATCCTTCTGTAAGGGTAAATTTGTTTACGTCACAACAAACAGCAGCCCTTTTGATGTCTTTTAACTGGTGACATCTGCATAAATCGTTAGGACGGCATTCACTGGCAGGTTGATGGAAGCAGCGGTGTTCAGAGGTACTATCATGTTCTGCCAAAAGGCACCATGTGGGTATCACGATAAGTATGTAGAATATAAGATGCACATACATCTGCAAGATTCATTGTATACATTAAATAAAAACAAACTATTTAAAATAGTGAATTACATTACAAATATTCCAATTATATTTCTGAAAGCATCGATTGCATTTTAGAATAGTAGTAGTATTTCCGAAATGGTAAGTTTAATTCCAGGTTAATTATATGCATTTCAGAAAACGTCAATTGCATTTCACAGTAGTCATTTTTAATTCAGTGCAACCTAAAGTTTTTAATGTACCTACCTATTTCAAATATTTAAAATGTTTATGTTTGAAGTCCATTACAGATATCAAAACACGAGACAAAATATTTTTTGCAAGTGAAATGAACTTTACATTGTAGGTAAAAACTATGTTTTGTGATGAAAACAAGTCTCAATTTTGTATTCCATTCTACGAAATATAATATATGCCCCATTCAGCATTGCAAGAGCGTTCGTCAGCAGCATCACCAAATATCGACCGATACATATACAGAGTGTACCAAAGTATTTAAAAATAAGAAAAACTAAATCTTTTTGCAAAACCGATTTATTCTCTTCAAAATGGTCCCTTCCGACTCAATACAGAGACATGATCTAATAGCACTTTGAATTAGTATTTTAGATCGTCGACCGGGATGTTTTCTGGATGTTCTTTTCCGTAAAGGTAAAAGTCTCAGGCCAATACAGGGGGATGTTGATAGTTAAAATGCGATCTTTAGTAAAAAAATCGTTCGCATGTGTCGATCGATGAGATGGCGCATTATCGCCAACTTCTGCGCTATATTCTGGCCGAATAAGACAAATACGATGCAAGAAACATTTCAAAACGCAACGATAGAATTGTGAAATAACGATTTGGTTCAGTGGAATGAATTATTTGTAGACAATGCCCTTGGAATCGTAAAAGCAAATCAACATTGTCTTCACTTTAACTTCTCCAAACTAAATTTTTTGGGCTTGGTTTCTGAATCATATTGAAAACATTTCATCACCAATCACAATGTTGTAAACAAAGTTTTACCGGTGCGGTTAACCAACATGTTGCTCATCATTCATGTCTGCCACGGGATAAACGATCATCATCATGTTTCGCTAAAAGTTTTGCCAAGTTTAAGATAGAACTTAGTATTAGTTCTTTGTGCGATGCTCATTTTTGTACATATGACACAATCAGACGCAATAACTCCGCTTCTATTCGCTAAATGTCATGAAATTTTGACAGTACATGAGTAAAGGACCTACCTTCCAGACACATGAAATTGTCAATAGATGGACGCACTAGAAATACCTACGTTTGAATGGTCCTCTTTACTTTGGAACGCATTTTGCATTCATACAATATGAAACAAATTTTTCAATCACAGTAATGATAATAAAATATTCATTATTTTATTATTATAGCTTTATGCAATACATACATATGAACAGATAACTAGGAATGCACGAATAATAATAACATTAAAACTCAGTAAATGTCTGAAATATATTTCGTTTTCATCTGGAAAAGGTGTAAACTGTTATAAATAAAACCGTTGTTTTAAGAAAGCCAACAATATAAATTAATAGAATTGACAGTAATATTTCGCCTATTTAAGTCTACTTTTAATATCCTTAACTAGATCAATTTTGGCGAAGTATCTCATCTGTAAATATAAAATTTTCCAGGAAAGGTCTTGGTGGGTTTGGCAATGCATAAACCGCGATATCGATTGTGATAAACTTTGCGAATATTTAGATATTTGAATATCTAATACGCCACAGACGTAAACACTAACTAAATATTTAAATTAAGCTCTCCCGATATAAAACCATCTGTAACAGACTGAAGCGTGACCTAGACGGAAAAACAACGTTACACTACAGCGCGAATTGTCCGGAAACATGCCGATGTAGAAACTTGTTTCGACATTTTGACTAACCGTTGTCAATTTTCCTTGAAACGGAGACCACCTTTCTTACATCTGTCGTTGATAAAGTCGCCACCAGAAAGGTTGTTCGTCCGTCGAGACGTTTTTTTTATTTCCGGAAACAGTTTGGGGAACGATTTATCCACAGGGATTAAAACATAAGAACTAGAAAGGCTGGCAAGTCCGCTTACCGGACTTGACCTTTTCCCAGAGTCTGCAATTTTCAGTCCGAGCTACAGCCTGACGTCCGGTGCGTAGAGCAGCAACGCGACAGCCCTACTTCGTAGGACACAGTCGTATTAGAATTTTGTCTTTTTATATATTTTGTTTCAGTCCAATCTTCAACCATAAATTAGATTAGATGTAGTACAAGAAATGAAACGTAAATTTAAAAATGGCGTTTTAGTTTCTCGGATGTGAAATGCCTTCTCTCATATACGTATACTTTCAAATGTTTCTGAAAATGTACAGGGTGTTTCTTTATATTTAGCACAAGCGCTATTATCTGATTATTCGCGTGGAGTAGCTCTGTATCAACGAATGGGGTACAAATTACAATCCTCGATTTTTTTTGCACAAATACTCTTTACACTATAGGCTAACTTCTCTAGGAATACTGAAATATACTACATTTTCATAACAATCACATATGGACTTGCCAAAACACTAGTTTTCCGTCAATATAGGGATGGGGATTGTCGCAGACATTCCAATTGGTCCAATCGCTCTTCCGAACAGGTTGACTGGAGAAACTAATCAGAAATTTCTTGAAGAGGATTTGCCAACACTGCTTGAAGAGGTTCCTTTTTGTTAAAACAACAAACATTGTTTGTGCACGATGTGCAGTGTATGAATACTACACATCCAAAGGTCTCTAGACCTTATTTTTTTAGTTAAGTTACAACCCTACTATAATGAAATGCATTCCAATTTGATGAATACAGTAATTTACTAATTTCCGCTTTCAAAACGATAAACATAAAACTGAATTAACCACACTCGCGTGTTCATAACGTATGACGAGAATAGCCATGCTGGCTATACCACTACTACTATTTCAACGAAGTAAACAATTATTAAGCACAACACACTCATGATAAGCACGCGGTTGCAAAACTGTTGGTCTAAAAAAGGATCATAGATTGCCGTTCGATATATTTCGAACAATAGTTTTGCAGCCAGTGCATCATGGTTGATCATGTTTACTTTGTTGGAATATGTAAAGTGAACATACTACACCTACAGGTGAATATAAACTTTTACGTCACGACGATCACCATTCGCGATCACGTGGCAATAATTCTCTTATTAATTTTATATTTCATATGTACCAATTAGCAATTAATAAAAAATAATACTGCAATAACGTTATAATAATATGATTTCCATAGAAATACATATTATTTCCTGATGAAATCTCTAACGTACTTTCATTTGCAACGTCACATAAACTTCACAGAGTCTTAAACGTTTATTTTGGTACGTTCAATAGGAACCTTTTGTGATCTCTTAAGTAAAAGATGAAACATTGAAAAGATTACTAAGTATCCAGTTGAAACAGTTCTATAAGGCCCCCTAGTTTAGTGAAAAGTTGCTAAAGTTATTTTGATTTATTTATATAACACACTATTAAAATTATTCCCAGTAAAAAAATTGGATATCATATCTATTACCATTTAAAATATCAGACAACTTTGAATTTTATTAAATATAAAAAATAGTTTTCTGTTTACCTGCTTATCTACTTTACACACTCTACACTTTTGTTTGAAAATTAAATTAAAAAAAAAAGTAAAATAAACCCCCGTACTTTTCATGATATGATTCAGATTAAACATGGGGGGCTTCAGTGGCCATAAAAAAATCGCTTTCATTTTTCTCAGTACGGATTGCATGTGAAAGACTGAAGTTATCTATTTGTATAAACTTTTTTATCAGTCTAGCTATGTATCGTCCCCAACTGTTTTATTTAGGGTACATGAGGGTTTCATTTAGGGTAGGTACGTATATGAAGGTATGTACTTTTGTAAAATTTCACGGCATCAATTTCATATCGTTTAAAATATCGTACATTTTACACAACTTTTATAAAAATAAGTTCTTTAGTTATGTTCTAGCACCAAAAAAATAAACTTAAACTTGTTTTTGGTGATGAAATAAACCCAATATAGCTACCAAGAATATTGAACTAAATTGTTCAAATTATAATTGTTAGTGTTAATTAATCATATTTCAATTAATATACCATCAAAGTTGAGAAATTTATTATTACTCAGGCCAAAAATATACACTGTTAAATGTAAATCGGATTTTTTTGAAAACGGTTCGATTTATCAAAATTAAAAAAAGAGTACCGTTTTTAATAGCATATGGATCAATATTTTTAAAATTGTTAAAAGGTGAAGTTAAATAGTAGCAGTTCCTACCCCTTAAACAACATGTGGGAATTGGATAACGTTACATAAATTAGTGTCATGTCCCTAAGTCTAAGTATAAAATATGATTAAGATATCTCGAATAATTTTTAAAATATCTCAAAAATATGGTATCTACAATCCCCCTTTAATCCCATTTTCTAAAAAAAATTTGTATAAATGGTACCTTCATTTTTTTGAAGTAGGTACTATCCTTCCCGGATATATCGAGACACAATTTAAAATCACACTGTAATTTTAAGAAAAAAATTAAATATATATTTTTACATTAATTATTATATTATTAATTATTGCATTAGAAATAATAATACCAGAAAAGTTATTGTTAATATGCACACAATCATTATAAATATTTTGCCATAATGAAAACATTTGCGTATAAACAATAAATATTTATTAAATTATCTCCAATCTTGATTGTCCTTGAAAATTTTAAATTCATTCTTGAAATAATTTTGTTACTCAGTAAAACTGAAAAATAAAATAATGAATTTAGACTCCTAAATTTAAGTATCTCTTTAGTAAACTCCTTCACTAATATTGTTTATATTATAATATCCGTACATGCATAATTATTAATAGACAAGAACAGAACTGGGAACAGGAAGTTATTCCAATACCTAAGTGCAAATATATATAACTACAAAATCAATAAGTTAAAAATAAGTCCTTACCTTAAGTCATATTCTCCTTTCTCTTCAATACTACTCAATATAAATTCTTCACGATCAAGCAACTTCTATAGGTATTTTATTTATGCATTTTGTTTGTCTTTTTGTTATTAAATTTCATGATAACCTAACCTTATGTACTACTGCTACTCTACTGCAAAATAGAAAGTGATAAACAAATGATTACAAATGCCTGGTTTGATATGCAAATATTGTTACAGCAACTTGTATTAATGTTTGCATAACGTAGAAATATTTATGCCCCTATAATTCAAGGTCAATATACAAATTAATTAGGTTTATTACTGCTAATGAGATTAAAAATTTTACCGAGTAAAAAAAGGTTCCCTTATGTCAGTGGCGTATCCTGGGATAATTTAAGATTTTAATTAAGGAACTGTAAAATCGCGCCCCCTTAAAAAAATAAAATTTTTAGAACATATTCAAAATTATAATGGTTTACTACTGTCATCACTCATCTAATATCATTTTCGACACCTAAACTAGAAATGTGATTAATATGTAGTTATGGAATATTCAGTAAAACCAGTTCTATTGTATATTGTGCAATGATTTATTATGACATGTAAATACCATCAACTCATTCCAGATCAAATTCAAACCAGTATGGAGATGTTTGGATACTTTAACTAAGCTAAGATGTTGGAGATAATCCTAGTATGGTCATAATCTTATTTCTCTTTTGGCAGGTAATAGAAATCCAGAAAAATCGATATAATTTGAAACTAGAAGCCATGCAACGGAACGCTATTCCGTTTCAGAGTTTTTTCTGAAGAAGAGAGCGATATGTCTGTCGAAACGTCAACCGACGACGTGGTGATCAGTCCAAATTGTTCAATCATTGACAAAATTGTAGGAAAACCACAAATCGAGCGAATTTCAGTACTTATACGATAGTTTTTGCCCTTATAATAGTTAACTAATTAAGTTTATTTCATATTGTGACTATATTTATGATAATCTTATTTTATACTAACATCAGCTGTAGCTAAAACTGCTAAACTAACTTACTCAGCGTTTAGTAATTTCAATTGTACAACAATATTGACATATACTCAGGATACTGCAAGGGATCATATGTTGCACCTCTATTTCTATTAAGAAAATAATTGAACTCAAATGTTTCAATTCCTTTTTCGTTAACATTTGAAGAATTGATGCTGTTTCATATCAGAATCCTCGTCTAAACTACAATTTGTATAAAATATTTTTTTCTACGACAGGCATTTAAGAACTTCACCAAAATGTTTTGAAACAGATATTTGCAACTGTCTCCAATTTTTTCTTCAATTTTTTGTTAATAGTAAGACATAATATTTATAACAAATAGATAGGAAGTACTTACAGGTCATTACTGTGTATCTGTTTTTTATTTTTTTTTTTGGGAGAAAGTGACAAACATAGATTTAAATGGCAAATAAATTTATTGGGTAGTTGGAAAAACAGAACCTAGATTAAAATCGTAAAAACGTAACAATAACTAATAAGTGTACTAAGAATTTATAAATAATTTTATTTTAACCATCTTGGATCATCAGCAACAAATTTTGCAAACAAAATTTAGAAATTTTCTGAACTAAAACCTATCTTCGCAATTTTTATGTGCTCTTACGACAATTTCTTTACATATCTCTGTCAAAAGCAATGTTATTATTCGTATACGTATACTTACATTTTTAAAAGAGTTCTAGCTGGACTTAACAAACACTCGCACTTTAGTTGTCAGAATACGGTACAAGCTTTTGTTCGTCAATGGAAACATTGTTTTCAGAACGGAGCCTCAGGAGACCTCCAGCAATAATAGGCTCATAATTCACACTGAACAAACGACGGTAAAATCATTAGTAAATATGTACCATGCGATATTGACCAACTGATAATTTCTAATCCTGAATCTTCGACCTCGAAGTTCATAGGTCTATGTCACTTTTATTGATTCAACAATTTCCTCTTTATGTCGCTTGTGGTAGAGAATTATTGATGAAAATGAAAAATTCGCGTGAATTTTATATTTCAACATCACGGCTCATAAAAATCAATAATTAGGATTTTCAGTGACGAAGTGTTTGGTGGATCCAATGGTTCTTGCAGGTTCATGAAGGAGGGGGTTCTGATTTCCATATTCCTCGTCTCCCTTGTAATCATCATCATCATCACCATCATCACCATCATCATCATCATCATCATCGTCATTCGTTTTCACTATGATCATCAAGAAGTCTCTTGTGGACTTATTTGATGTTAGAATTTCTCTTCCAACCTTAGCCTTCTAATTAGATTATCGTTGACTTCTCTCATATCTTCCAGACGTGGATCGTTGTCTCCTCGTCCTCCTGGTAGAACTTACTGTGGCCTATATTACTCAGATATTTGCAGCAATGTCCATCTACAACTTTGATCCAATAGATTCACCATTTACTTATATGGTGGCCCTTTACAGAACTCTCTTGCCTCTGTCCAATAGTTTCTTGTTGTGATCTTTGGTTATTATTATTCTCCACCAATTCATTTGTGAATTTATTATTAAAGCGGCTAGTTTTGAAAAGGTTTAGGCATTGTAAATAAGCCTCTTAGGGCTAATTTAGTAGCATTTTCGTTGCCTCGATGGTTCTTAAGTTCCAAACTAGAGTCTAATGTCATTGTTTTAATATACGTGTCCCAGCCTAGATTGATTTGACATGAGACTTAGGTAAACGACAATTATTTAGTATTTCACTTTCTTCTTTAATTCCAGAAGACTAGGGTGTGACTTTCTAAGACTAAGAGATGTTAACCTTCTTCTTAGCCGCTCACCCTCTTGCGTACCGCTGCCTTAAATTATTAAAACACAACGTGTGACTTAAATGTAGTCATATATGTATAGACACATTCAGACGTTATTCTTGCTACCAAAAAATAAATTAGTATACATACTAGCGTACAACCCTTATGCGAAGTTTTACTGGTTGCATAACGCAATATTGAAAGGCATTGAAATGATCGGTCATAGTCGTGAACTCCGAACACTCGCGTTTAAATTTCAAACAACACCGGGCGCTGAACTTTGCCGGCTGCCGGTTGTCTAAGCTTTTCAAGATTTCCAGCCAGTTTATCGTGATCGTTCAGGGTTGTGTTAGTGCCCTTCATGCTGCTTTACTGTTTGACTGTTTATATGAGGAATTACCCCGTTTCTCTTATAAATTTGGAGATATGTGACAGAAACTAACATTTATTTGACTGTTGATTGTGTATTGTGATTGTTTCTTTTCGATTTGGTGAATTATTTTATACGAATAATGGCAGCAATCGCTTTAACAATTCTTCTCTGCATATTAGGTACGTATGCGTAGCTTCGTCTTTATACTACCATTTTCAATAGCAAACAAACAAGTATTTTCATTTTAAATATGCATTTTATTGATACTTTTGCTTTTATTACAACCACATTAAAGAATTCAATAATTAGTGTGGGCAAATAATTAGTGAATAAGTAAAAACTCAGTCCTGGAATACCTAACTGTATTTATTTGATTATAATAATTCCTTTGTGGGCAGTGATTTTCACAATTAAATAAATAATCTTCAGTTTATTATACACTTTTATTTTTATAAGATCTTAGCTTCTTTTATAATACTTAGTAGTCAATTAATTACTAGTGACTTTATGGAGCTCTTCAATGTCCATTTTTTCCCAATGGAGTCAGTAATATGAATGAAGTTCTTTCAATTGAGTAAGGCATTTAATTTTTAGTCAAATTAGTGCTATTTATTCAACAGATACTTTTAGCTTTTTGAAATATGACTTCAGTATATTAAACTGTGTTTAAATTTTCCTCAAATTGTTTCATAGAGAAGCACCAGATTTAATATAATCATCTGAAATATTGTTAATAACGAAGATAAATTAATTAACAGCGAAGAAAAGAAGTTAATGTAGAACAGAAAAGATTATCAATCTTATTTGGTTAGGTATAAGGTAACAGCGTGTGAAGTGAAATTGTCATTTATTTGATCATGGTAACTTAGATGTAAAAAAAAATTTTTCCTAGTAAGTATGTAAGTACTTAATTTCTTTCATCATAAAACACGCTGGGTCACATTTTGTTAAACATCGATTTAGAAATTGTATTTACAACCATTAAGTATTGATTGCATTGAAACTCCTCAGCAAATTTAATGACATGATAATTCTCGAGCATCTTTGAACATTTTCTACAGATAGCGGCACTGACATAATAGAAAATTATAATGTTTGGTTTGGATCCCCTTTTGCTCAATAGATCACCCGCCACTGTTTACATCGCTATAAATTTACATTACAGCACGACTTTGTTCTTTTCCTCTGTGCTTTTTTTCTATACAATGGAAGCGGAATTAAGTATGAAGTATTGTGCATCCAATTAGATTTTTTGTAGTGTGAATTGGAATTGTAGCTCGCCAAATTCTAATGTGGACTCGTCACGTTCGTTGTGGTTTAGTGAATATATACTACACTTGAATATTTTGTTATTAATTTATTTATCTCGAGATATCCTAACCTAAAATTGCGGAAAACACAGTTTTTCGATGTATTTGAGGTTACCGCGAGGAATTTGTTTTCTACAAACCTCGTTGTGGCACCATAAGGTACTACTCTTCTTGTTCTTCAAAAGCCATTTTGATTCGTTCCTCTCCTAGAAGTCGTTTCATGAAATTGATTAGTTTGGCGTATTCTTCGATATTAGGAAATTGAGTAGCACCAGGTTAAGAGTCAAAAAAAAAGAGAAGAACCAAATTACCAACACCTGAATTCCCACTGGTTCTTCAGTCGAAAAACTTAAGAATCAGTAGAATTGTTTGTATTGTATTCTCAGTTTAAGTTTTTACCTGATGCTAGTCAGTATCTGATTGTCAAAAATGAATTTTGAAGAAGAACAATGATGTGTAACGAAAAATTGTGTTTTTTGCAGGTTTAGGTTACGGTAAACTTGATGTAATCGAGTAAATATGAGCATCGAAAACTTTCTGGAGTATACGAGTAGTCTGGTTTCTGGTTTAAAGAGCATATCATGAAAATAATGTCCCACAGGTCTCTATTCAGTAAATCTAAGTTCCAGTAATCTATCGAATTCAATACATCTATTCAAAAAAATAATGAACTATATCAGTTTAATGTCATCCTCATTTTATCGCTTTTATACTTACACGTAGTTATGTATATCAAATTCTAAAATAAAACGGAATTTAGAGCTCTGTATTTGCATCTTTGCTTCTAAAGCTACTAATCAGCAAAATTTTTCATCAAATGTTAACGAAATTATAAAAGGATCTCGCACAAGTTTTCTATTGAATTCATTATGAAATTTTTATAGGAATTTGCTTTAAATAATACCAGACTTATGTTTAAAAAATAATAATTCATGTAAAATAAAAACATTTATAATAATTGGGTATATCAAAAATAAATTTGAATATTTTAATAATTTTTTATTGTAAATTTCTTCATTTTGAAAAGATGCGTATATTTTATGGCTAAAATCGTAAAAATTGTGGGCGATTCTGAGTATAGTTCATAAAAGTTTATGTATCCAGGACATGGTGAAAATGGTACAGTCACATTTTATTATAGGATAATAAAAATTAAACAAATAAGATAGGAGAAAACTCAGTTAATTCATAATAGATAATAACATACTCGATAACATACACTCTGCCTTAACTTTTATTACAAATATTTGATAAAACGAGATACTGATGTTTATTACCTACTATATTTAACAGATTACAACCCTCTCCTCATCTAAAATCGAAGAGTAGGTACTGGAATATATGATAGACTGAATATTATGGTTGAAGCAATTAAGAAGAAAATTAGGTAATTTAAATATTATAAATTGCGTAGTTTATTTGAATAATGTGCCTATAGAGTGATACAACAATTGTCTCCTGAAGAAATGAAGGAAGGCTATTACATAAAAAAAGACGAGGGTGTCTTGTTATACACATTTTTGTCCAGAAATGTATAAACGGGGATGATAGTTATTATATTTTCTGCAATATCTTAAAAGTCTCTCAAGGTTTTTTATTTTTATTTCAATTTAGGATTGTGGCATCTAAACAGTAATAAAGATTTATTCTCGTCATTGTTATTTGGTCACATCATTGCATTTACCTTGAAATGTCACATACTTTGAACAATTTTCATAAAACTTTTAGCGAAAGAATTGAAATACATTATCTTGACAAAATTTTTTGCAAAATTTAAGGAATATATTTTAAGAATACGGTCCGAAAATATTTATAAAATTAAGTAAAACATTATTTCCATTGAAAATGTACAGTTATTAATATTTTATTACAGATATTATTTTCTTGCGATGTAACACAAGACTCTTTATGTCACACTATTTCCATGTCTCTTTTACATTTTGATATTAACCCAATAATCCTTACGTATGGGAGTAAATTAGATATAAAGGGAAATTTGTTCTATATAAAACCTATCCGTGAAATGCATAAACAATTTTTGGAAGGACGATACTGTGTTGAAAATGAAAACCAAGGTCACAAATACTGATCCAGGACAAAACATTGCGACTGGCATAGAATCATAAAGCGTTACTTGAATCTTCTTTCTTAGAGCAAAAGATTTGATCAACCAATCCGGAACATTATAATCTTTTCAGCAATCCTAAGACTCACACATCTATCATATAGGTACGAACGATAGGAAAATCTTGTTATATCTTAATAGTCCTTGTATACTGAAATCTTGAATAAAGCTTCTATTTGGATATATACAAAGAATATACTAAGATCCAAAGTTGAAGGAAGTAACATGTAGATATATTACCATACCTATACAATTGTGGCTGGCTTCTTTAATACCTAGTGTATTTATTTTTTATTAATTTATTATAATGAAAGAGTATTAGAAAAATAGGGTTTGCTATATTAACAACATAATTAATTTTTTGGCCTTATTCTCATCTCATATAATTTTAATTGTTTGAGGAAAATATGTCTACAATAAAGTCTGTTAGGCCACTCATTAGAAAAAAATCAAGCCAACAAAGAATTTCAAGGTTGATACAAAAAACAAATCTAATTTGTAAAGAAAGCTCCTTTGTAGTTTAAAAATTAATTTACTTATTTTTTTTGTATTTACCACATCACCATAAAAACTTACTTATTTAAAGTAAAACTAATTCTGCAACTGACAATGTTTAACGTTACTTAATTGTTCCTAACATGTCTCATCAAGAGCGGTTTAAAAAAATTATAAATTTAAAGTGTCTTTTAGAAGCTTCGATATAATTGACTGTATTTGGGATCCGCTCTATCTACCTGAGCAGAGAATTAGATTCTTGCGTAAATGTTATGGAATTCAGGGTAACATTTTGTGCCCAGGTAGAATTCGTTTACTCTCAATGAACTGAGAAGAGAAATATTATGCTTCTGTTTGCTTTCCATATTTCCACAAATATTTTAAGTATGATTATCTACAAGAATACCATTGCGTAATCTCGAAATCACATACTTATTTGAAACTCATTTCTAATACCTTAAAATTAAAATTAACAATACCCTACTTTTGCCATTCGTTAAATAGCTCGAGACTTCTAGGACAAATAGGATACCATTTTCATTAAATTGTATTTAGCCCTTTTAGTGAATATGAAGAAGAAATCTCGTCGAAACGAACCAGCTTGATTGGCTTGGCATACAATTGTTTTCAGTCAAGTTCTTGAGGCAAGTTTGTTGACTAAGGGAGACACTTTAAAATTATTCTATTGTTTAGAACTGATGCCAAAAAATAAGAAAATGTGTTCAAAGTTCTCTTATTTTAATCAAATGTGTTTTACGTTTTGTGTATATTATGGAGAAGAGAAGAAAGAAGGGAAAATAAGCGAAGGGAGACTAGGCGCAGTTATAGACAGTTATATTGTATTGGGTACCAGAACACAAAAAAAATGAGAAAGTCGATGAACTTGCTAGTAAGGGATCTGAAACAAAGTTCATTGGTCCGGAGTCCTTCTGTGGGACATCTGCATGTGAAGGAACTTATAGAGTGTACTTTGCAGAAAAGAACGAATGATAAGAAAAAATCATACAAGCTAAAGCTTGTAGACAGTTCGGTTTGCCGAGGATGTGACTTGTCGGATGAAATTTCTCTGCAGATCCTGGACCAGTGCCCAGAATTTGTACTTAGTAGAATGAAGCTTCTGGAGAAACCCTTCTTGAAACCCAAGGAGCTAAGAGAAGTGTCAGTAGGGAAGCTTTTGGACTTTGATAAAAGGACCAAGCTACTTGCTGAATAGGATTGAAAAGTGGGACACACAATAGACCTGATAAGG